CCTTTCTTTCTACAAACCCATTCAAATCCATCTAAACGGTTTTTCCGTTTGACTAGATGCATATCCTACATAAAGGACACTTATAATGGCTAGTAAGTAAACCTTCATTTACATGCCAGTCAATTAAAGCTCTTTTCCCCTTTCACTTTAAATCGTACAGAAACTTCAAATTAATCTTACTACATTCGGCCATTCTACCGTCTAAAGAATCAAACCAACACACACCACAAAAACGCTTACAAAATATCCCATGATTCAAAATTTCCCAGAATCATGCACCCGATTACGTCACAACAGGGTTTCCATAACATTCAACTACTCAGGATACCATAAAAATGAAACAACTTGGCGATAAATTAAACCTTCGCCATAATACAAGGGGTACCTTAAAGTCTACTCTACAACATTTGGTGAAAATGTGCTTTAGGCCCCTGCTTGGCGATTTTTTAAATCGCCAGTAAAATATCAGAATACGTTGCATAAACAAAGTTGCGAACGCAGAGCTATGTGACGTTCATAAATGGGTGGGACTAAGATTGTGACGTCACAATGTATTCTCTACAGATGTAGAAATAAGTATACTAAATTTTTTGTATTTCAAACTACTATAATACGGTAAGTGAATTGTAACAATTATTAAAACTGTAAACAACGTCGCAGTCTCTCATACAGGGTGAATATTTTTAAGCTTTAGTATTTATACAAATAAAAACAGATTTTTTTTAATTTTAATTTCATATTGCGGAACATTTTAACTTATCATCTTTACAAAATTACCTTATTGCTATGTAACGACACCATCTCTTACATACTAGTAAGTAAAACAATCTTAAGTAAACAATCTTCATTATTTTCTAAAAATTTTTAAGCTTTACATTAATAAAAAAGAAAAATATTTATGATTGAATATCAACATCATACACAGCTTTCATTTCCCTTTTTCTTAAGTTCCTAAACCACGTTCTATACTCTCGTATTAGAATTCTACACATTAATACATTTAAAATATCTAATTTCTCAAAGTGAAAGAAAATAAGAAAACATTAAAAATAAGCAATTTTAAAAAGAAAAAATATTTTCACTTATCCTTTTCAGGAAAATAAAAAGTCTTTTTGACAATGACGGCACGTTTCCCTTTCATTTCCAATAAAGTAATAAATTTACATGTACATTTACTCACCTCTCTCAGCATCACAGATAAATCCATAGCGATTGTTTATTTAACGAAATATATGCAGAAAAATGTTAAAAACACACAGATAAAACCACTCGATTGATAACTACCACATAAGAACATTCAAACGGCAAATGAATTAACTGCTCAAATTACGAAGTAAAAATTCCAACAGAAATCGTCTGCTTGGAAATTCTTTTTAACTGCAAGTATAGTTTTGAAAGCATAAAATATCGTCTGCTAATTGACAATTTGTCTTCGGACATTTGTGCTCTCTCCGAAGAAATTTATTCGTATCTAGTTATTAAAAAGCGCTGTGAAAGCCATGGCTTTTCGATATCTAAAGCTACGATAGGTAATATTGTCAACGATAGGAAATTTAAAAAAAGACAACAAATATAATGAAATTAAAAAACAAAATAAAATCTGAAATTTAAGATTTTACATTATGCCCCAAAGGTGCATTTTTTTAACACTTTGCGTGTTACCTTTATTAATTAAATATCATGTTCTTCGAACTAAAACCGTAAAATTCAGTTCAACAGAAATATCACAATTTTAAAATAAGCATATCTTTAGATTTTCAGATACACAGTCTCGTACGCTGGAGATAAAAATGTTTTTATCTGTAGAGCATTGTCATTGCTTGCTTTGAAATTCCTCAGTATGTTAATAAAAAATTCGTTAAAGTTTTACAAAATATGAAACGATAATAAAACAAATTCTAAGTTTCAAATTTGGGCTTCCAGATGCCCATATTCGCAGGAGGGTGACATTATTCTAAATTTGATGTTTCTAGGTACCGTTGTTTTATCAAAATGAGGGAAACATACATATATGAAGATTTTTAATCGTTTAATTCCTTTAAATATAATACAAGGCGATAATATTTGTTGGCCACAATTTGAAACATTGGCTTTTCCCATGTACACATCGATCTATTTTCACTTAAAAAAACATCCCAGAAGTGCACAAACTCGGCATCGCGCACAACCTCGGCATTGCGCACCACAATGGCTTTGCCCATGTGCACATCGATTTATTTTCACTTAAAAAAACATCCCAGAATTGCACAAACTCGGCATCGCGCACCACATTGGCTTTCCCCATGTGCACATCGATCTATTTTCGCATAAAAAAAAATTCCAGAATTGCACAACCTCGGCATTGCGCACTGCATTGGCTTTGCCCATGTGCACATCTATTTTCACTTAAAAAAAATCCCAGAATTGCACAAACTCGGAATCGCGCACTGGGATTTTTTTTTAAGCTCGGCATCGCGCACAACCTCGGCATTGCACACCACATTAGCTTTGCCCATGTGCACATCGATCTATTTTCACTTAAAAATAATTCCAGAACTGCACAAACTCGGATCGCGCACAACCCCGCATTGCGCACCACATTGGCGATAAAAATGTTTTTATCTGTAGAGCATTGTCATTGCTTGCTTTGAAATTCCTCAGTATGTTAATAAAAAGTTCGTTAAAGTTTTACAAAATATGAAACGATAATAAAACAAATTCCAAGTCTCAAATTTGGGCTTCCAGATGCCCATATTCGCAGGAGGATGACGTTATTCTAAATTTGATGTTTCTAGGTACCGTTGTTTTATCAAAATGAGGGAAACATACATATACTTATGAAGATTTTTAATCGTTTAATTCCTTTAAATATAATACAAAGCGATAATATTTGTTGGCCACAATTTGAAACATTGGCTACATTGGCTTTTCCCATGTACACATCGATCTATTTTCACTTAAAAAAACATCCCAGAAGTGCACAAACTTGCCATCGCGCACAACCTCGGCATTGTGCACCACATTGGCTTTGCCCATGTGCACATCGATCTATTTTCACTTAAAAAAAATCCCAGAATTGCACAAACTCGGCATTGCGCACCACATTGGCTTTGCCCATGTGCACATCGATCTATTTTCACTTAAAAAAAAATCCCAAAATTGCACAAACTCGGCATCGCGCACAACGTCGGCATTGCACACTGCATTGGCTTTGCCCATGTACATATCGATCTATTTTCATTAAAAAAAAAAATCAGAGAATTGCACAACGTTAGCTTTTCCAATCTTCTAGGATTGAGCCAAAAAGAAATACAAAATATTAAAATAAACAACTTTAAAATGAACCATACAAGAAAAATTTTTTCACTTACCCTTTTCAAGAAAAATGTAGTCTTTTTGAGGGGTTTTATATATGAATTTATATCAGGGGGAAACCCTTTTGGATCCCCCCTCATCTTTAAATAAATTTACAAACGTTTATACGCCGTTTCCATAATATATGCAGAAAAAAGGATAAAACCCACAAGGCGGAAAAACACTCGATTAAAAAAAGAATCCACATAAGACACATAACATTCAAACATTCAACACACATAACATTCAAACCGCAACAGAATTAACAAGTAAAAAAAAATAAATAAATAAAATAAAAATAATGAAAGCTTTTAGATTTTACATTACGCCCAAAGGGAGTTTTTTTAACGTTCTGTGTGTTACATTTCTTTATCATATAATGTTCTTTACACTTAAACCATAAAATTCAGTTCAACAGCAATATCGCAAAATAATTTTAAAATGAGCATATCTTTAGAATTTCTGCAACACAGTTTTGCGCTCTGCACGTAAAAAATGATTTTTTCCCCCCGTACTGTGTTGCAGTTGCCCCCTTTTTTTATCTTTGAGTTTGCTAATAAAAATTTCGTTCAAGTTTTACAAAATATCAATCAGATAATAAAAAAAATTCCAAGTTTGGGCTTCCAGATGCCCATATTAGGTTGGAAACGTATGTTATTCAAAATTTGATGGCTATAGGTACCATTGTTTTATCACAATTGCGAGAAACATTTATGCAGATTTTTCAATATTTAATTTCTTTAAATATAACACAGGGCGATAACATTTAGTGGCAACAGAATAACAACACAGCTTCAAAACATGGGGTTAGTCATGTTGGCGCGTTTATTGCCCATTGAAAAACAATCGCCAAGCAGTGGGCTAAACCGCATTTTAACCCAACTTTTTTGTACAGATTACGTACTTAAATAGCCAGAAAATATTTTTTCAAAGGTAAAAAATTATTTTCCTTATGCAATTTTTAAATTACTATCAGATACGTTTTTAAACATGCGTCAAAATTAGACCAGAATGCATTAAAGATTAATAGATTGTGTTTATTATTAAAAAAACTCTAACGTCAACTCCCTTTTAGCTTAAAATGAAATTTGAAGAGAAAGTAAAACCTATTTCTGTTATTCAAAGCAAGACTATATCTGCAATCTATAAACAAAGATATGCAGTTGTTTACAAATATCACTGAAATGTTATAGTCATACATTCAAATGTTAAGAAGACTATTTCCGTTTACTTACCTTCATGGTAGATCTGACACCCCGAGCTCTCGCATATTTTTTAAGTTCACTAAATGGCATTTGACGCAGTTTTTCTTCACTGGGAGTATTCATCTCTTTACGAAATTAAAATTCCAAGTATTAAGCAAAACTATGGATTACAAAAAAATCCCAAGCAAAACGAATAGCGAAGTAAAACTATTACTTGCTACATAGTAATTCACAACGAACTAACATCTTTAATCTACCAGATACAACACGTTTGAAAAGTTAAATGCTACTCTAAAACTTCATTGGTTATTCAAGCTGTTGCCATAAAGCAATTGTGTAAAAAGATGCCAGTTGGTTCTAATACGCAACGGCGGCTACTAACAGGTAGCGGTTTTTTAAGCTATGCCCGATGGAGCGTTCATCTTTCGAGTTAAAAGATGTATTGATGCACCAAGAAAAATTCTTCTGTTGTCGATTTGTCTGCTTAATTGACAAGCAGTGGGAAATGTGTTTGTTATGAGTAATGTGACTGTAGTTTTCAAGTCTTAAATCGTCGACTTAATTAATAGTTTCCAATTCGAATTTCGAAATATTATTTAATAGTTTTAAGATATTTATTGCCTCTTATGCTAACTGTTGATTTTCAATGTGTATAATTTTTTTTATTTTTTTTTTTGCAAGAGGTCATGAAGTTATGCTCTTGCTATTGAAATACGAAAGTAATAGCAAAGTAATTATGGTTTCTGATAATTTTCTTCGATTTGGCATTTCACAATGCTATGAGCTGTTGAATAAAGATAAGACTAATTTAAAAATAAAATTAAACGTGTAAATTAAATTTTAATATTTTTGAATGAAGAGAACCTTAAAATTAGTTTTTAAGTGAAAGATAAAGCGTATAGAAATATTAAATAAGCTCATTTAAAGAAAAAAAGCATTTATAAATGAAACAACGTTTAACAATAGGGATTATTCCATATACTATTAATTTTATCACATAAATTGTGTGAGTATAATAATCTCAACTGTGTATATCATAAAATAAATTGATTACAATCAAACTTTTGTATAAATGTTAATTTATCAATAATTAATATTAAAGTAAGCAATTATTAATAATTTTCAATTGCATGAAATCGCTCTGTATTTCCTTTCGCAAAATTTAATAACATAAGCCCCTTTTCTTACTGTGCGTTTTCGTGTGACATTTATTATTAACTTGAGGGAATGCTAGCGAGAAATTTTCTTGAATATGAGACCTCTGCATATTTATGGTTCTAAATATAATGGCATCTTCTGGAAATAATAGAGCGAGCGACGAAGAACTGCTCCGTTTGCCTCCTCAGGAACTAGTTCGGAAGATTCGGAGAGCTGAATCCGAAAACATAAAACTTATGATGAGCCATGGTGCACTTATTAAGGATGTTAATCAGCGTATGCAGGTATGCAATTTTATTAAGTAATTTTACATTAGAATAATAGGTACTTCTACATTTTAACCTTTTCAAAATATGCAACCAGTTCATTCAATATCTGCAGTATACAATTTATTGTTCGCTGTTTTGCTTAATGTAATTTTGTAAGGAATTTTTTAAATAAACAACTTATAGAAACATACTCAAAATTTATTTTAAAGGCTAAACTGAAGCATCAGATGCATACCAAGTTTAGTGATTTCATTATTAGGTAATCATTTTAATCTGGTAACTTTACTTTGTTAGGTAATGACTTTGTTCTAGAAATCTTACTTTTATTTGCTCATTTATTTCTGATTATTCCAATGAATGGGATTATGGAATATTTCTCTACTTTTCTTGTGTTCTCTGTTTTTAATACTATTTGTTATTTCAGATATACTTATATTGGAGGGTACATACAAAAAATTCTGTCAACCGCAGAGTTGTCGAGAATTCCACCAAATATAAATTAAAGGTAATATATTTATGGATGCCCTTGGGCGATTTTTGGCGGTACATGGACATCAAGTTTGTGTAATTCTTTGAATTGTTATTTTGGCTTTGTGTAGCAGTGATTTTTCACAGCAAAAATCGCTGCTACACAAATTCAAAATAACAGGTCAAAGAATTGAACAAAATCAATATCCATGTACGCATCGATCTATTTTCACTTTAAACAAAAAAATCAGCGAATTGCACAAACTAGGCATTGTGCACTCCCTTGACTCTGTCCATGTACACATCGATCTATATTCACTTAAAAATTCAACAAAAAATATATGTAATCTCAATAAACTACATTTTAAATCAAAGAATGAAATAACATAAAAGAAATTCATCTTGGCGCTACACAAAGGAAATATGAACTTAACCTTATTTACAAATTTCCCTGTCTTCAGTCAAACAAAGTTCTTTAAGAGCATCCAAAAACTACCTAAAATTATCTTAACTATAATCTGTATACTGGCATCGCCACATAAATTCACAAAAAGAAGAGTAAAAAATATCCTGCATAGTGCAGGTATCCTTGGACGTTCGACCATACGTATTTCCTTCTTACAAACAGGACACTTATAATGGCAACTAAATAAACCTTCATTCACACACCAGTCAATTAATGCTTTTATTCCCTTTTGTTTCAAATCGTACAGAAACTTCAAATTTATCTTGCAACATTCAGCCATTTTACCGTGTAAACCACAAAATAACAATGTACTTCTTATCCATCTGTCCCATTACTCAAATTAACTGCAATCATACAACTAATTACATCATAATAGGGTTTCCATAGCAAACTACTCAGGTTATCATAAATGAAACAACTTGGTGGTAAATGAAACAACAACTTAACAATGATCCAAGAGGCACCCTTTAATCTACTCTAACCAAATTAGTTACTGTGGCAGGCAAAATTTTCTAACTGCATTCAAGATGGCAACGAATGCATCCTTTTCTTCAAAAGTCAAAGGTGTATTATGACCTGGAGAGCTTGAAGAAACAACTAAATCTATAATTAAGCTCATTCAAAAATCAGAACCGCTTACTTCAGGACACTTTTTAATAGGTGCTCCTGTAACTTCCTTTCCTGAGAAAGCTCCAACAAAGTCTCTTTGCTTAAAGTCAAGATGGCAGAAGGAATACCTGAATCAACTACAACAACGAGAAAAGTGGACTTTGCGTGCAAACAATATTCAAGTGAATGACTTGGTTTATCTCAAAGAATTTTCTCTTCCTCCTTTTAAGTGGAATCTTGGAAGAATCACAGAAGTGTTTCCTGTAAAAGACGGAGTCGTTCGAGTTGTTGAAGTAAAAACGTCAACTGGACTTTATCGACGTCCAATTTCCAAATGTTGTCCTTTTCCTAAGTAGTCATTCCTGAACTTGAGTGTTCAGCCTGGAGGGGGGGGGGGTAGGAGAAATGTTCAGTTTTAAAAATGTTTATGCCTTACTTTATCTTTTTCTATAGATGGCTCTGCCCTCGTGCCAGATGTTTAATTCGTAATGTATTCAAGGTAAGCTATTTAATAATTATTAATTATTGAACTTAACAAACATGCACAAAAATAGCATTGTGAACTCCCTTTATCCATGTACACATCGACCTATTTTCCCTTAAAAAAAAATTAGAGAATTGCATAAACTATGCTTTACGCACTCCCTTGAGTTTGTCCGTGTACACATTGCTATATTTTCACTTAAAAAGTCAAAGGAGCACCTAAATCTACAGTAGAGGCAAACAAAAAATACATAATCTCAATAAACTACATTTTAAACCAACCAATAAAATAACACAAAAAAGGAAAAACCTGTTATGTATTTTAGCACTACACAAAGCAAAAATCCCCTTACCTTATTTAGAAATTCGTTCGTCTTCAGTCTGTGGCACACAAAATTCCTTAATAGCATCCAAAAACTTCCTAAAATTATCTGAACTGCGATCTGTATATCGGCATCGCCACAGAAATTCACAAAAATAAGAGTAAAAAATATACTACGTATTTTCAGATCATGGGTACTAAGTAAACCTTCATTCATACAATTAATTCCCTCAATTAATGCACTTTTTCCCTTTTGTCCCAAATCGTACCAAAACTTCAAATTAATCCTACTACATTCAGCCATTCTATCGTCTAAACAATGAAACAAACAATATACTTCCTAAGCAACACACACCACAAAAGCCTTTGCAAAACATCCCATGATTCAAAATTTCCCAGAATAATGCAAACGATTACATCATAACAGGGTTTCCATAACATTCAACTACTCAGGTTACCATAAATGATACAACACTTAGTGATAAACAAAACAATAACTTCGCAATAATACAAGGGGTACCTTAAAGTCAACTCGAACCAAAATTTCTTTTCATATGCTAAAAATAGATTTTGTTTATGAAACTCATTGGCCAAAAGATTACATTTAGTGTTATTTTAATTAAGAATAACTGATATATTATTCACCATAAACTAAGAAGTGGTGGCAGAATATGTCAGCACCAGACGGCAGAATTTAGAGAAGACAACATTTTTGGAATTTGGGGATTACCGAGCGGCAGAATTAAGGGATGAGAAGTTTTCATGATTTAGGGAGAGCACTGGGATCCAAAGTTTAGGCGTGGGGAAAATTTAGAACCTAGGAAAGCGCTTTGTAGGAGAATTTAGGACCCGTAGAGACTGCACCAGGCAGTATCGAGCGCCGGTTCTAGATAAAGCCTTAAGGATTTGGATTAGTTTTAAGCATGTGCAAGAAATAAACGTAGGCATAGTAAATAACTAAACTAATTAGGAGCAAGACAAAATTTAGTGAAACAACTTGGCTTTCGTCGCCAATCTTATGATACACAGCCAATAATGTATAACGTACGCTATTAAGCTAGGCTAAAATTATCTTTACTGATTATAAGGTATTTCAATTAATGTAGCAGATTGTGCTGCTCCCTGATCTTCTAATTTGATCCAGCTTATTATTTTTTGCAGACTGTTATTATTACGGCAATTTAATAAAAACTAAGTTTGAACTAACTTTAAATAAAAACTAACTTTGAACTTTCGATTATGTCGAAAAGAGTTTTCCCGTTCTGGAGTTTCCAAAGAATCTACAAAGTGAAATCATGTTTCGATGTTCATTAAACAAAATGTGTAATAGCTGCAAAAAATGGATAAAGGCATATCCGTCTCAAAATTATGCTAGGAGTATGGCATTGGAAAGTCCACTGTATATAACACAAGAAAAAGGATATTTTTGAATTTTTTGTGGAAGCACCTTAAACAACTTACCTTGAAAGAAATATTTAATAAAGTAAACAAATAAATATTAAGCTTTTTTTTTTTTTTTTTTTTTTTGTAAATTTTGATACCCTTTAGATCATAATTGTTCTTTATTTCATAAATTACGATTTCATATTTTTAATTGTATAATTTCTGCATGCCGTCTTACCAGATTTAAATTGATGATCTATTATCCGGAAAAATCCCAAATCCGGAATTTCCAAGTCCCGACCAGTCCGGATTTCGGACTTTGTACTGTACTTGGTTTTCTGCTTTGTAAAAAGACTCATTGATTTCAGAGATGTCATTAACCTCTGTATTTTTTTTTTTTTTTTTTTTTTTTTTTTTTTTAAATTTCGATAAAAGGCTGTGTATCAGGGCCATTCCTAATGGGTGTGCAGCAGGTAAAAGTATGCGGGCGGCCGGCTCTCATGATACCACACCTAAATATTTAAAATTCATTAAACTCATTGTAAGTACTTGCCATATGCAAGTGCTTTTTATGTAATTTGTCAGATGTAAGTACTTAGTGAGTATAAAATAAAATTTTATTAATCATTGAGCTTTTTTTTTTAGAATTTGGGGGCGGCAGTCTTGGGAAAGTACACAGGCAGCCAATGGCCTAGGAGCTGCCCTGCAGTGTATGCAAACTTCGCTTTGTTAATTGTTCTAATTTATAATTGTCTTGTCATTTAAATATAATTACTGTTTACATCATTTAGTAGTCATTAGTTCTTGGTATCAGTTATGAATGAATATGAGTGCAATAAAAATGAATAGTACAATCCTTAAACACAGTACCTTTTTAAACGAATACTCACTTTTCACAACTCTTAACATTGCAGTGCCACTGCCTGTTTGTTTTCAAGTAAAATAAAGCTATATCATGCCTATTCACACACTTTTAGATGCCAGCTGGATTCCTTATTTTTAAAATATTCTACTGCAATCTGTTTTGTAGTGGGCAGATTCCAATTTTTTTTTTTTTTTTTTTTTTTTTTTTTAAAATATGGAGAGAAAAAACAAAGGATGAGTGGAAAAAAAAACAGAGCTGATAAAAATTTTGTTTAAAGAACAAGATTACACTAAATTAAGTGGTTTGAAGACACGCTTTTCTATTATTGGCCAATTACCTTTTTTTAGTGAAAATGGTTGATAGGATTATGTATCCATCCAAGGCCAACTTATACTCAAGGCCTGCCAGACTGAACGAAATTCCGGTTCCCAGTTTTCAGTGGCTTTCGCGAAATTCATCACTAGGTGGCGCTCGCATTCTGCTACAATTTTGCTATACGCTCACTATTTGTAACGTGGCTCGTTATTAACAAAAAGTGTATTTTATGTCTAGCTGCTGTATATTTAAGGGCTATACTTAACAAGCTTGTTTTTTTTTTTTTTTTTTTTTTTTTTTTTTTGCGTAACTTTATATGCATATAGGTTTAAAATTGTGTATATACCTCATTGAACTCAGTTCTGAAATTCCTCATTCTGCTTATTTAATTCTGAAATCTTTGTGCATCTAATGCTGTTATTTTCAAAACTTTGTAACTTTCTTCTGATTAATCTGGAATGGGAATGGTACACATGGATTTATGTCAGGTAGTTACATGTAGGTAATGTATCAAGATGGCACTCATGTATATGTGTGCTTAATAGTGATAATATTGTTTTGTGAAATTCAGTAATTTTATTTCATGTATACATT